GGTAAAGAATGAGTTTGCCACGGTCTAGCAGGTTCTTGGTCAGGCCGTGGCAAGTGACCGTGTCAAATCTTGTATCTCGCGTTCTTGGATGAATCATGATGCCACGGTCTAGCAAGTTTGGGTCAAGCCGTGGCAAGTGATCGTGTCAATCGCCGAAAGAACGCACAAAGTTGCCACGGTCAGATGTGAAGCCGTGATGCATGGCCGTGTCAAACGCCGAAAGCATGCGCAAGGTTGCCACGGCCAAGTCCTAAGCCGTGGCATGGAGACCGTGTCAAACGCCGAAGAAGTGTACAAAGTTGCCACGGCCAGGTCCTAAGCCGTGGCATGGAGACCGTGTCAAACGCCGAAGAATTGTACAAAGTTGCCACGGCCAAGTCCTAAGCCGTGGCATGGAGACCATGTCAAACACCAAAGAAGTGTACAAAGTTGCCACGGCCAAGTCCTAAGCCGTGGCATGGAGACCTTGTCAAATGTCGAATGTGAGTAAAATCTTTTCGCGGCCAAATGTTACTTTGCCACGGTCAAGTGTAGACCGTGGCATGAAGATCGTGTCAAACGCCGAAGGACTGCAATTAAGTGCCACGGTCAGGTGTGGACCGTGGCATTCCATCGTGCCATCTTTCCCTTAGCATAATTTTATCAATCTTACAGCGTTCAGGGCTCCTAGGACCACTTTGCGTTCAGGGAGGCGTAACTTCTAAGATATTTGTCCGAATTGTGTGCTTCCGGTTTCAGAGGACAGAAGACTCATATATCTTCAACTTTGGTGAAGGAAGCTTCGGTGCTTGGGAAGTGGAAGGTTTCCTGGAGGGCTCATCTTCGCAGTGCATTTACACGATCAGAGAGTGGCGTCTAGACATGTGTCCATTCCGGAAACGTTATCTTCTTGCTCATAGCTCCGAATTACATGATCTCAAACGTTCTGGAAATAGGACTCAAAGATATCGGATTCTGATGAAGACCCCGTAAACTGAATCGGTCTGGAAGAATACCGTCCTTCGCATTCTTCGGACCTCATCGGGTCGGTCCAAAACGGAAGCGAGACAGGAGTTCCTTCCAACGAGCTTAACTCTCTGCTCACGTGTCCGAAGTCTATGATTCCACTTGCTCTGGAACCGTGATCCAATCTTCTCCAACTTTGAGGAAGCACCCGACAGCTGAATCGGACCGGAAGGTTCCCCGGTTAGGCGATTTTGAAAACGTGTCTGCACCCGGAGATTTTGGCCGAGAAATTCATTAGCCGGTACGCGTTTTGGCCGATGAATCCACCCGCGGTATGTGAGAATGGCCGAGAAAACCTTCCTGCGGTACGCGAGAATAGCCAAGAACCTCCAAAAACCCATTTTCAGCATCTTTCAAGTCCTGGTTGCCATTTCTCTTCCTGGATCCATCTCTCCGACTCCAAATAACTCCAAATACACCTGATAAACACTCAAAACATGCAAAGATAATGCAACTCCTAAATCCTAAAACAAACCCTAAGGACCTAAAATGCATGAAATAAAACATGATTTGGAATGAAACATGCAACCTAAATGATGCAAATTATGAACATATCAGTCTGCAACTCCATTTCTGCTCCTTTCCGATCTCAAATTTCGATGTCGAATTCTTGCCGTAGGAAGATCCATCTTATCAATCTCGGTTTATTGTCTTTCATAGACATTAAATACTTAATTTCCACATGATCAATATGAATTATAACCTTAGATCCTACTAGATAAAAACGGAATTTCTCAAATGCACATACGACAGATAGAAGTTCTTTCTCTGTTGTTGCATAATTGCATTAAGCTTCATCTAGAGTTCTGCTTGCGTAATAGATTACATGCAGTTTCTTATCTTTTCGTTGGCCAAGAACTGCTCCGACTAAATAGTCACTTGCATCACACATGATTTCGAATAGGAGTTCCAAATCAGGTGCTTTCACGACTGGAGCAGAGACAAGGGCTTCTTTTATTTTATGAAATGCGGCTAAACACTCGTCATCGAACTGGAAGTTCGTTTCTTTGCAAAGCAAATGCGTAAGAGGTCTAGATATTTGTGAAAAATCCTTTATGACGCACCTATAGAATCCTGAAGTCCTAAGAAACTACGTATGCCTTTTACATATGTGGGGGGGGGGGGTTGTAGGCTTGTCATGACTGATTTTTGCTTTGTCAACTTCAATTCTTTTTCCCGAAATCCTGTGCCCAAGCACGATTCCGTCTCGCACCATGAAGTGACATTTTCCCCAATTTAATACTTAGTGCCTATCTTCACATCTTTGCAAAAATTTACCAAGGTTGGCCAGGCATTTTTTGAAAGAAGATCCATAGATTGAGAAATCATCCATGAAAACTCCATAATGTCTTCGATAAAGTCCGTGAAGATCGACATCATGCATCGCTGGAAGGTAGCAGGTGCATTACACAATCCAAAAGGCATTTCGTCGATAAGCGAACGTGCCATATGTACAAGTAAATTACGTTTTTTCTTGATCCTCCGGTCGAATGGTAATTTGGAAAAGTCCGGAGTATACATCAATTAGCAATAATAGGGGTGATTAGCTAACCTTTCTAGCATTTGATCTATGAAGGGAAGTGGAAAATGATATTTCCTAGTTGCTGTATTCAGTTTCCAGTAATCGATGCACATACGATGTCTAGTGAGTGTTCTTGTAGCGATCAATTCATCTTTATCATTTTTAACGACAGTGACTCCTCCTTTCTTCGGGACAACATGAAATGGCTAACCCAAGTGCTATCTGAGATATGAAATATTATTCCGGCTTCTAAAAGCTTCATAATCTCTTTCTTGACGACATTCATGAGATTAGGGTTTAGTCTCCTTTGACTTTCGATTGAGTTTTCAGCATTATCCTCGAGATTGATCTTGTGCATAAAAAGATCTGCAGAGATTCCAGATATGTCATCAAGTGAATATCCTAAGGCTTTTTATGCTTTCTCAGTTCAGAAAATAGCATTTTGGTTTCTTCTTCTGTCAAACCGGAGTTTATAATGACAGGATAAGTCGAATTTGGTCCAAAGAAAGTGTACTTTAGTCCGACTGGAAGAGATTTAAGCTCAACCTTCGGGGCTTTCAGCTTGCTCCACGGATCATTTATTGTTGTGGCTGTGCCTATAGGAAGTGTAGGAATGTTTGTTTGGTCTTTAAGATCTAGATGGTTTAGAGGCTTCTTATAAGTTTCAGACTTATCAAGCATCCGCGCGCATTCACTTGAGATTTCTTCAAGGAAATTGCTTTCGTCTTTTGTGGTTGAAACCGTGACACTTAAAGGGTCTTCGAGAAGTAGATCTTCATAGACTTCCTCAATAATTCCGTCAAGCTCATCAATCCAACAATTTTTTTTTATCCAGAGTTGGTTTATCGAGATTTTTGTTCATGTCAAATTGCATAACCAGATCACCTAAGTGAAGATCGATTTTTCCTTTAGGAACATTGATTATCGCTCCCGCTGTACATAAGAATGGTCGTCCGAGAATAAGAGGATCTCTACGTTCTCTTTCTAATTCTAGCACTACAAAATCGGTGGGTATGCAACATTTTTCAATTTTGATGGGAACATCTATTAAGATACCTACGGGTTGTCTAACGGAACGATCAGCTAATACTAAAGAAATAGTGGGCTGGAAATTGTGATGTCCTAAACGTTTTTTGAAAATGAGAGAGGCATCATGTCTAGGCTTGATCCCAAATCACAAAGAGCACGCTTAAAAGCCATATTATTGATAGTGCAGAAAAGTATGAAGCTCTCAGGATCGTCTTTCTTTTGAGGGATCCGGCTTTGCTGGATAGAACTACATTCATGGGTTCTCATTATAACACCTTCTTCAAGAGTTAAAAAAATTGTTAGAATACCCTTCATGTATTTTCTTAAAGCGGGAATCATAGCACAAGCTTATACGAAAGGTAATCTCACATTTAATTGATCGATTAGCTTTTCAGCTTAGCTTTTTCTTTCTCCTTCTTCGGGGCTCTTAATGCTTTAGGATATGGCGGTTTAGGTTTGTATACACGAGCTGATGGAGGGGGGATCGGGTCTTCTAAGAGAATTTCCCGGGATGTAACTTCTCTTACTTCTTCTCCATCCTTTTCTCTGACCACGTCTTTTTCAACGTCTTCAATCGTGACTCTGTCTCTTTCTTTTTCCTTTTCCTTTCCTTTTTTCTCATCTACGGGATCTTTAGGAAATTCAGGCTCTTTGTAAGCTAGACCGCTCCTAAGTGTGATGGCTTTCACATGATCAGAGGGGTCGGCCTCGCTTGAGCTTTTGAAAGAACTTTCACTTGGCTCCTCCTCGGGATTATCTGTGTTCTTAGGGTGGAAAATTTGTCATTGAAATCTTCTTGCATCCTTTTTATTTCAGAACTAAGATCACTGATCTCCCTAGACTTAGATTTTTCAAGCTCTAGAATCTGTTGTTTAGGTTTTTAGCTTCAGAAGAGGGAAAACTTGAATAGGGGATTGAATCAGATTGGACAGCCCATATTTGTTCGGAAGAGAATTTCCCGCGGTCGTATGACTCGCGACCGTGGTGGAATGGGTCTTGATCGCGGTCAGGGAAGGCACGACCGTGGTGAAAGCTGGTTTGGCCGGGGTCCGAAAGAATGGACCTGTGGTGATCAAGCACGAAAGAAAATCTTGAATTTGATAGATTTCTTCAGTGTTCATCATCTCTTGCTTATAAGAATCCATTGGGTTGTTCCAACCATCAAAGTTACACGTATTGTGTACTTTGTTTGGTTGTTGCAATCCAAGTTGACTCATTATTTGATGGAGACACTTCATAACTTCTGAAATCTCTTCTTTCTTCTCATGAAGTGCAGACTTGCCAAAGATTGCTTGTTACGGATACTTCCTGCCAGGTTGTTATGAAAACACTAGCATCTTCTGTGGATCTGGTGGAGAAGTCTCCATTGCTTGCTGTGTCAAAAGAATGTTGCAATTCTTTAGTTACGCTTTGATAGAAGATACCCATCAGGTATTCGTCGGAAAATCCATGGTGTGGACAATCTCTTTGGTATTCTCTAAATCTTCCCCAAGCATCGTAAAGATCTTCGTCTTTCTTTTGTTCGAAAGTTTGTATCTTGTTCCTTAAGAGATTGGAACGAGTTCTAGTGTAAAAACGATTTAGGAAAGCCGCTCTACAGTCTTTCCACGTTTTTATTGATGCAGGTTGCAAAAATTTTAGCCAATTGCTGGCGTTGTCTCTCAAAGAAAATGAGAAAAGAATACACTTGTGGTAATCCCCATTTGATGTAATGGTTGCACATAATTCTTCGAACGACTCGATATGGTCCATCGGGTGTTCGGATGAATAACCATAGAATTAATTTTGTTGAACTAAGTTGATATATGGTACCTTTATTTCAGTTTTACCATCCTCTGGTAAGGAAGGTTGAATAGCTCTTCGATCTCCCAAAAACTTTTTGAGTGAATCAAAACTTCCTATTAGTTCATCATCATCATCTTGTTGATCCAATTAGCTTCTCATCATCATTGATCAGATTGTCAAGCTCTTCATCACTCAGGTCCGTCGCTTGGGTTATCATCCACATGATATGGCGGATCACCGAGAGTTCTGTGAATATGTTCCGGTCTCCCATTGTCGAGTAACCTGGAAAGTTCAAAAGAAAAAGTAAAAGTAAACAAGTGTTCTAATGGATTTAAGCTGAGATTCGCATCAAAGTCCCCGGCAACGCCGCCAAAAACTTGATGCGATTGTAAACGAGGTGTTGGTTTTACTAATTTTCAGGTTTAAAATTTATAACCACTAAATGTCTGCAAGTGCGCAGATGTGCGCTATAGTACTTAGGGTATCGATCCACAAAGACTTAGTTGTTTCAGTACGAATTCACGCTAATGCTTAAATCAGGCTTGAACTAAACAATTTGGGTTTTTGTTTTCGGGTGTCACTAAATCTAAACTAGAAAGCAAGTAAAAAGTAACTGAAAATGAAAGCAAGTGAAGCGGGTAAAAACCGAATGAAAATCGAAGGCTATAAACAATGGAAAACAAACGATGGGCTCAAGGGTATCGCAGGGATTCATTGGACTAAACCTATGACATAAATAAATGATAAAGGTAATCGACTATGTATATTCTAGAACTTGAGGCATGGAAGTATGAATAGCCTACTTTTGCATCACTAAACAACTATCTCTCGCAACCCTAAGAAGTAGGTTTCCACTCTGGTCCTGAAAGGAAGAAGATTCAATAGTTTGAACAAGACTCATCAATATTCACAACTCATTTATACGTAAGTTTCCACTTCTATAGTAGAATTTCTCGTTTCACCCTAGATTAGACAATCAATGAAAACTTTTAGAACATATCATATCTAGATCGAATTCTAAGTGGCCAGCAGAGAATCGCGCAATAAGAATAAAGGTAGACGAAGAACACCTAGAAGATTATTAATACTAAATCTAGCAATTCATATAAGAAGACACATGAAATTCCCTTTGAGAAATCCGTTTAAACCCAACTGAGAAACTACTCAAACATAGATGAGTAGGCTGTGCAAGAACCCTCGAACAATGAATGGAGGGTCAAAATTTTAATGTACATCATAGATGGCGATGTACCTCTTGACTGATGGGCAACCAGACGCCTAAAAGCCCGCAGCACAAAGTATGTTCAGTCGCACAAAAACCTATACTGATTGAGCGCCAAGGGCGCGCTGCTTAGCTGTCTGCACGGGGAAGAAACTGTTGACGTTATGCAAGAAACACACGAAGGTGGGTGTGAAAATCATTCGACTGGTTGGGCATTAACCCTTTAAATAAAAAAATCACAGACACTTCAGGCCGACTATATTGATAGACTGCGATAGATTCGTTGCTCGCTGCAAAAAATGCCAGCGACACACCCTTTTGATCCACGACCCAATCGAACTCCTCATGGCTTCATCACCACCCCACCCATTCATGCGATGGTGATGGATATCGTCGGTCCATTACCTCGCACCCGCCAGAAATGTACTATTATCATCATCACCTATTTCACGAAGTGGATCAAGGCCGAATCCTATGCTAAAATCCACGCAGAAGACGTCAAGAATTTTCTCTAGAAACACATAATATGTCGACACGGCCTCCCTTATTAGAGCGTGACGGATAACGGCCCCACATTCATTTCTAGCACAGTTGAGAATTTCTGTGCCAAGTGGAAGATCAGACTCAGTAAATCGACCTCGAGATACCCACAAGTAACAGGAAAGCTGAGGCGACCAACAAAATCATACTCGGCGGGATCAAAAAGAGACTTAAAGAAGAGAAAGGTCTATGGGCCGACGAACTCGATGGAGTACTGTGGTCGCATAGAACCACACCTCGACGATCAACAAATAAAACCTCATTCTCATTGTCACATGGAATGGAAGCTCTAGCTCCATCCGAGGTTGGCCTACCAAGCCTGCGCCAAATAATGCTAACACAAGACGCCAAAACCAACACCATGTTAGAAGAAGAACGAGCCCAAGCTCTAATTCGAATACAAAATTACCAACAAAAAGCGGCCCGATATTACAACAAGAAGGTCAAAGGAAGACATTTCAAGGCAGGCCACCTCGTACTTTGCAAGGTACTCGAAAACACCGCTGAACAACAAGCGGGGAAGCTTGGAGCAAACTGGGATGGCCCATACCAAATCACAAAATTCTTCAAACCAGAAGTATACGAGCTAATGACAATGCAAGGAGAGATGATCCCACGGTCATGGAATTCGATTAACATAAAGAGATACTACTACTAGATCGATTTGACCACAAGATTGCCAAAAAAAAAGGTTGCTCACCGAGCTAGATTCTACTCTGTATTAAATGAAAACTACGATTAGCTTGATCCCGAATTATCAAGTGCAGCTATTAATAAAAATTTGTTATTACTTTTCTGAACTCTTTACTCGACATCTCGGCGATCTACAAAAACTCATTCATCATAATGCAAACTCTCTATAATCCTAAGGAACAAAAACCTTAACGATTATAGAGATTAAGTCGGGTCCAATCCTGCACTCTCTTAGATCGCCCGAATAAATACGCTAAAGCTAACAGGTCAGCCGAGCTACTACTCGCACCTGCTAGCATACTAAACCGAGCCCACACTCATTAGGAAAAAAAGAGTTGCCGAACTCTTGTCTCGCACCTATAATTTGATTAGTCTCAATAACAAAAATAGTCAAACAACCACTTGTAAAAAAAATAGACATTTCATTAAGTTCGAATATCGCATTACATCGAATAAAAAAAAACAAAGAAAATCAGGAAAATGCGACGAATAAGGAGAAGTGCAACAACAAAGGAAAACACTTTACTCAACGAATCGATCTCGAGCTTCGGGGTCTTCAGGATCTTCAGGCTTGTAATGATCTGAACCGCCTCCTGAAGTAGCAGGAAACGGCAGTTCAAGATCACGCTTCTGCAGGTCAGAAATACTGAGACTTGCAAGGTTCTGCTCACAATCAAGTTTTGTTTTCGCATACTCAGACCTTATCTCTCCCTTGGTAATTTTTGAAGGCTGCTTCAAAAGATCGAGACACTCGAGGGTTCCTCTAGCCTGAACAAGATCGAGATTCACGGTTTCGGCTGCCTCGCGATCAACATTGTAAGCTCTCAGCCGACCCATGCGAGCAGAGAACCTGGCTTCAGCATCCGAAAAAATCCTTATGCTCTCGGCCTCAATCCTCTTGGCGGTGTTCCTCTGCGCTCGGAGGACCTCCGAAGCCATCGTTTTCTCGAGCTGAATCTTCTTCTCGTTGGCGATCTGGAGATTGTTGATCAAATCCTGGTTTTCTATTCTCAACAACTCAATCTGATTGGTCAACTCCCTCTTCTTTTCAGTTTGCCACTCCTCCACAGCGGCCATCCACCCGGAAATTTCAGAGATCCCCTTGATCTTTAAACACAACTGGGAAATTCCAGAGCTCGCCATGGTGGATCTGCTGGGCCTGGTGAATTAAGAACAAAACCTAATGAAAGGTGGAACCTGTTCTGCATATCGTTCAGACGCTCAACCGTCATCCACGACAGGATCTTCTTAAGATGATTCTCTATTGGTCCCTTACATTTGGAACCCTTCCTGCGAGGTTTGACTTCTTCATTTTCGTCTTCCTCTTCTTCATTTTAATTTTTCTCTTCGACGTCGTCTATATCGGGCACCTCAGCATCAACATCGCAAGAATTTGCTTTGATGTGGCTCGATCAAGGAGTCACGATCTCAACTCTTGTCGAGTTAGAAGTGGCCCCATCCGGACAAATCCGCTTTGAAAACTCATCTAGTGGTGATGTCCCTCTATCCAACGGACTCTCAGACCTTGATGATACTTAGGGAGATGAATCTCCACTCTCCTCAGCAATCTCCTCAGATCGAGATCCAGATTCCAAACTCGACTCAATGTGTTCCTCTCCCATGACCATTGGGTGATGTTTATGGAGATGGCCGAAGAAGTTATGATTGGAGAAATCAAGCCACGAGAATAGAACCAAAATGACGGAGGAAGAGTAAATTCTAGAGAGAGAAACTAGAGAGAGTGCGGGAAGGGAGAAAGAGAAGTTACCTTTTATGAGCGAGAGAAGAGAATGAAGAGAAGTTGGGATTCTCAAATTATATAGAAGAAAAATACCGGTTACCGAGGAATATAATCATGACCCGCAATCCAATCGAATTCAAAGATATTTGGAGTTCACGAGCCATCCAATGTTTCGTATCTCAGCGCACGCCTTTTCGACTTCCAAGCCGCCTCTCATGCGCGTCTTTTCGATTCTGAAACCGCCATTCACGTGCGCCTTTTCAACTTCAAAGCCGTCATCAATGCACACCACCCCTCCTTGATATATACTGTACAGCTCCATCACCGCAATATCTAAGTGTCGCCTCGCCAAAGATATTGCCCAAGACTGGATTAGAACTCGCAATAAGGAGTCACAACGTCAAGTCACCGAGCTATCAATACAAATCTCTCTCGACGAACTAGGGGGGCAATTGTTGGAGGTGGTCTGCGCACAGCCCTCTTCAAGAATTAGCCCAAGTCAAGATCGGCCCATTAAGCCTGGTAAAGCCCAATAACCTCACCAGGCCCAACGTATCCACGAAGCTCGACCAT